ACAATTAACAGTACAATAACGTCCGCTGTTCCTGTATTGGTTTTCTTTTGTAACGTTCGCATACTGTTAACCGGAAAAACAGATCATCCTATAGTTGGGTCAGGATATTGGGATTATCCCTTGGCCAATATAATATATCTACCCTCGGGACCTAGGGTGGGTTAGTCTCTTTTCTTCGAGTATTAAAACATAATAAATAACAACAACATAAAATGCATTCAATAATAGATCTATCATATCGTATTCATTCTTTAATATTATGAAATGCCTTCCTGATTAATCGCGATGTATCATATTTAGAAAACTAATTTCTTATACGTTTATCTACGCTGAAGGTAAACGAGCTAATATCGATGGTAAAACGATGCACCTGCCAGGCGGGTCTCGTACAGCCCCCAGTTTACATATGAATATATACATACAACCCCCTGCATATGTATGGGAACTCAAGATAAACGAGCTAATATCGATCGAAACACGACGCACCTGCCAGGCAGGCCTCGTACAGCCCCCTGTATACATATGGATACATATACATAGAACCCCCTTTATGTGTCCGAAAACTCAAGATAAACGAGCTAATATCGATGGTAACACGATGCACCTGTGTTGCTGATCTCATACAACCCCGAGTACAAACATATAGTGCCCGGACTTTTGTCCAGATTTTCCATTTGAATTACAAAATAAAGGTTTGTCCTGTTGAAAATCCCGGGTTGAATATTCAGCTTCAGGAAAGGACGAAAAGTTTATAACCACTTTCACTTATTTTCTCTTACCCGATGTTATCAAACAATATTGCCTTATTTAGACATAAATTGTGAGAGAAAAAGACTGATGAATTTTGAAAAAGGCTCATGAATGCAGTCAAAGTGACAAACATGCTATCACATCTAATGTCTGAATACTGAATAATACAATATTTTGAAATGTAGAGTATTTGATGATCTAAAAACATTTTGAGAAACATTTCCCGTTTTAACTTCTACTCCTTGAAGGGCAGGAAAATTAAAGGCCAAACAATTAAAGTTAACTGATGAATTTTGAAAAAGGCTCATGAATGTAGTCAAAGTGACAAACATGCTATCGCATCTAATGTCTGAATACTGAATAATACAATATTTTGAAATGTAGAGTATTTGATGATCTAAAAACATTTTGAGAAACATTTCCCGTTTTAACTTCTACTTCTTGAAGGGCGGGAAAATTAAAGGCCAAACAATTAAAGTTAACCTTTAAAAATATCAAACAATTTTAAGTCATCATAAATTATATTTTCAATGGAGGGGGGGGGGGTCTGCGTGAGACCTTTAATAATAGTTGAACTAGTCTTCAAATTCAAATTGAAATAAAATTCCATTGAAAAGGGGGTCATAGTTTACTTAACACTATTTATTTTCATGGCCTGACTGACGCTGTTTTGATGTGAACTTCAAATGTCGACCAACCTTGGCACAGTAATCTTGTAACACTTGTTATCCGATTTTTATGTCTCCCTACCCCATTAGTCTCGTGTTTGCGAATGGAGATATTGATTCTCAAATTGTATGACCAGGAGAGCTTAGCTTTTTGTGTATTACATCGTTTGGGATATTGTGAATTTGTTTTCCTTTGTATTGTTTGCATTCTCCGATGTTTCCTTATCTCGCTGTATTTTCAAGTAACACGCTCTTTGATCTTTCCCTCTTTGACATTTGTGTTTACAACCGCTTACATACATACACAAAATACACTACCCTTCATAAGTCTATAGCAATTGGATGTTTTCATTGGTTTGCATAGCAACGCTTGTCAATGTTGTCTATAGTCTATAGCAACCGGATGTTTTCATTGGTTTGCATAGCAACGCTTGTCAATGTTGTCTTTAGTCTATAGCAACCGGATGTTTTCATTGAATTGCATAGCAACGCTTGTCAATGTTGTCTATAGTCTATAGCAACCGGATGTTTTCATTGAATTGCATAGCAACGCTTGTCAATATTGTCTATAGTCTATAGCAACCGGATGTTTTCATTGAATTGCATAGCAACGCTTGTCAATGTTGTCTATAGTCTATAGCAACCGGATGTTTTCATTGAATTGCATAGCAACGCTTGTCAATGTTGTCTATAGTCTATAGCAACCGGATGTTTTCATTGGTTTGCATAGCAACGCTTGTCAATGTTGTCTATAGTCTATAGCAACCGGATGTTTTCATTGAATTGCATTGCATAGCAACGCTTGTCAATGTTTGAATCCTAATTTTTTCCCTTCATTACAATATTTCGCAAATTGATGACAAATTTGATGATTTTCATAGTTCACCACGCATAAACAGGGTTACCACGTGACCCAAAAAGAGGACACCCGCTGCTAAACTTATGGGAGGGAGTGTACTTAGATATACTTAGAAATACGTAACAAGTCAGGTGCTAGTCCTAGCAACTGGGTACATCAATTAAATAGTTCTAAAGTTTCACTCCGGATAGATTTGGATATCAATTTAGCTAAAAGATAAATTGATCACGCACTTACTACACACATGCTCTAAGATATGCAATCCCAACTAACAGAAGTACAGGGTATCCATCTCTACACTTTACACATACTTTTGTAATCGTAAAGTGACGTTATGGGCACCCTGTATATATTTTTCTTTATTCCCAAATAATAGTTCACAGCATCGCAAGGCTACTCTGTAACACCAACATAATAGTTTTAACTCTTTCATTCCCACATAGCAAGCAATGCATTATCGATTTCTGACCAATGAGGAACTATTCATGCTATATAATTTTACTAAACATAATGTAAGAGTGCTCAACTGCAATAAGGGAAATATGACGTTGTGATAGAAAAAATACTGCTAAGAAGCCTGCCAAGGGGTTGCTTATGCATGTTTAAGTGTTAAATGTTGAGACCTAGATTTTACTCTTGCGAAGAAGTTTCTGCATGAATTTTAAAACTTTTTTGATACTGTATTTAATTTTTCAAATTCATTCGTCTCTTGGATGATATCATTAAATGCATTTCGGTTCAATCACATTGTCAAGAACCTTGTGTTTTAAATCACCTACAAATCGCTGAGTTCTAAATTTAGATTCTTTATTAATTTGAACGTACCATGATGCACATTTCCTTCTCCAGTTCTTCAAGACGCGGCAGCAGTTGTTGATCTGTATAATCGTTTATTGTACTACTTCGCCCAAAAGTATGAAATAACTGACTGTAGAGAGACCCAAGAGAAATTCAAATAGTCTAATAACGATACCACAAACCTTGGTTTTCTAAAATTGACCACGTGACCAACAGGGATTACCTGGACAACATCGTAACACATGCTCCTTTGTTAGATGGAAGTACAGCAATTCCGTTCTTCGTACGTCCATTTAATACTTAATCATTCTGTCTTATTGCAGAACGGAATGGTCGCCAGCAAATTGTCCACAGGCAAGATGTACTGGACTACTTTTACATTACCGCACGTCCAAGAATTTTGCAAAAAATGGCTGTATAATGCTACTACGTCCAATCCGTGTGCACGCAGTTTTAGCCCGGTGGGTAACATTTTAAAGAACTACTGTAGTTTGGTGTATCGGTGGGGTTGGGATGAGACTGCAATAAGCCCAAAGTGGTTCAAATCTACACAGGATTTTAGAAATAGAAAAATGTCTACTCGTATATAGTTACTAAGTCTAATAAAAGTCAACTGGGGTATCGAAAGAGGGTGATCAAGAATGAGGAGGGACATTGAAAGTGGTATTTGTTTCTCGTTGATACCCTATTTCTTTTTTCTTTTTTCGACTTTTCTCTTTAAAGAATCTTTAAGAGTGACAATTCGTTAGATTTTATATTTCTTAATCAATATACCAATGAGACACCGTTTGTGAACCAATAAATTGTTTGATTTTAAACTTTATAAACCAAACAAATAAATGATTTTTACCGCGGGAGCTAAATATTAATGTTGTAATTAACATCAGCACCTCCTTAACAGGAGTCGAAATCTGGCAGTTTGTATATAGAAACATAAGCACGAATCACACATCCCAATTCCAATTTGAAAATATCACAGGCTATATCGACACACAGCTCCTTTAAACTTCTATATTGTGGTCTTAAAACCTTGAACGATCCCAAACAAAACGTAATCTAATCATTAATCTCTGTAAAATTGCTCAAAACCTTGATGTTGTACTAGTCTGCTAGACTTTGAAAATGCATAAAATAAAAAGGTTGTATCCGTCTATTTCAATTTACAAGCGAACATCTTTTACCTTAATCTAGTTTGACACCTCTAGTAATATTTCAGTGCAAGGTTAATTTGGTATTATCTATCGGTAATGGGGAATTCTAAGGATGGTCCATTTTTTCAACCACGTCGAGGTTAATTTTGACTGCTGAATAAGTCATATTGTGTTTGCATCCAGCATCCAGTGAGGGGTTTACCGAAAACTAACGAAAGTCTAGCATTTTAGCATTGACATATGATTTAGAGAAGTTACGAATTTTGCCAGAATCCTCAACATTTTGAGAAATTATTGAAAAATACTTCTTTCGTCCAAGCGTGTTCGTTTTGAATAAACATTTGCGAATCTTGAGGGAAGCCTTGTCAAATTAGAAGATTTTTCTATCTTTTTTAAATTAAAGAAAATTGCTAAAATTTTTAGAAAAGTTGCGGAAAAAGTTGCTGAACATTCGAGAAATTTGCTTGGAATTGAGGATATTGGCTAAAAATCTTGGAATTTTACCCAAAATTTATGAAATCTAAAAAAATACGAATTCAAGCTTGTGACTCCCTCCCCTTTACGTCCTATCTCTATAAGTTCTTAAGTAGATAGATGGATGGGATCGAGATACTCGATGATAGAACGATATTCAGAAAAAGGTCAAAATTTGGTCAACATTTGCTAATATTGAATTTACCGATCTTGAGAAAAATGCAAATTTCAGCGAGAATGAAGTAATCAAATTGGTAATTTCTATTTCCCCAAGATTTCCCAAATGGTCCATACATTTAGGGACTGGCCAATATGATGCAAACGCGCATGTCTATATAAGACTCGTGTTACCCCCTGGGTATTGCGGTTATTATAAGCTATAGTGCGTCGACTCTGAGCCACTCTTCATTTGACTTCTCACAAGCTTAGACGGAATTCTCCCGCATTGTATCCAGAACCTCGGTGAGTTAAAACATTTACATTAAACACAAATAACATCTCAACAATCATGTATTAAATGTATACAAAGAAAGCTAAGCTTGTTGCCAGAATTATGGACGCTTTTTAAAATACTTGTATTTTACAAGAAAGAGATTGATTGTTATGTAACAGAATTCATTTACAATTATTTATGCTTATATACATGTATAATTATTTGTATTTATTAATTTACAATGAGTAACTATCGCTTCATTTCTTTTGAAATATAAATAATGAATCACTACATTTATTTATCAAATTGATCAAAAATTGAATGATTTTGTTTTACCCATTAGCATCATTGCAGTTCATATCGTCATTGCAAATCATCATTGTTATGTCGTCATTGTAATTAATACCATTATTTCATTGCAGTTAATATCTTGATTGTTACTTTAACCACATACGACGATTGCATGTTTATATATGAATGGGTTAATTAGGTTTTAATGGTGATGTTAATGAGGTCGTTATTTTATAATTCTCAATCTTAGATTAGCAAGCTACGGTTTTAGTTTTTCGCCGTTGTCAAAATTATAATATTGAAACTCCAAATCATGTGTACAATAATGTGATTTTTGTTGACTTCGCTTATAATTTTCAATTTCCAGTCGAAATTGATATTTTTGCGACAAAATATGGATTTCATATTATGATTTTTATCATCAGATGAGTGGGCGAATTTGCGAGTGGGCGATAATACCTTGGAATTAAGGTGATCGATGATATTGTGGTTTTGATACCTGTCGGTCATATCCTCCCTTGCAACGCTTTCCATTCCGTCTGCCATCTGATAAAAACTTAGGACTATGCAAGGGGAGTAATATACGGGTGCCTGGATGTCGCAAGCAGACGAAGGCGTATTTTGCGCACGAAGCTGAAAAGTTCCGTGGGTGTTGATATTGCTGCCGGGGATTTAGCTAATTGTCCGCCATTAGTGCAAGTTTGTTACAATTCATCACGATAATCATTGCCTTCTCCGGATCTCTGGGGAATCATTAGTATCTTGTCATATCCGCGAATTGATTCCAGGGAACTTGTTGCACCTATGATCTATATCCGGGGATATGATCTTCCCGGGATTCTGTTTGAATGTTCAGTGAGGGGGGGGGGGGGGGTGTAGCGAATTTTCAATATTCATAACGTAAATATTTACCCTACTTTTACAGTCAAATCAACTAAGAAAATGCCTTAAATTAAACAGTTTTACTTATGACATGACGTCATAATTAGTTTGAAGGAAACACCAAAAAAACACCGTAGCATCATTTTTACCACACTAGGCTAATAGTTCGTGTATAAATTTAAAGTAAAGGTTATTCATGTTCACCATTAAAGGGAGATGTATCATGTGCCCATAATGGATGATTAATATAAGTAGTTTCTGTCACCGTTGCCAAATAGGGATAAAATCCCCCTCGTTGTTACATTGACCTGATCACTAAGGATATTAACCATATTCTTATCGTAAATGAATTATATCCACTGTGTTTTCTTTACCTGGTTCACATGTTTGAACTACAATAACAATTTAGACAACATGTTAATAACATATTAGTATATAATGTTTTAAAAGCTAAAAATTAGGTCTACGGTTATTTCTGACATGATATATGACGAGAAATGAGGGGGGGGGGGTTCTCAATACAGAAGGGAACTCCATGGATACGCAGATATCTTTAATCATGGAACTATTTCGTATTTGCCGTCAATATTTATATTAAAAGTTATGTATTAATTGGTCTTATGTAAGAATACCATATTGCTTCACGAGTTATTCTCAGCCCATGGGAAAAATATATTCTACGAGAGTGTGAGAACCACTTAAAGTGGTAGTATGACGTAAGGATTCTGTGAGAATATCTTAAAGTGTCAGTGTTATGTATCTTATAACATTATCTTAATCAACGCTCTGATGTTTCAACGAATCAATTAAATCAAATTAAAGGGACAATAACCTCTAGTATATATTCTAAATATTCCCTAAATGTTTTTATCCAAAGTGAATCCATTAATTGAACTGCCATAGCAATTTGATAAAAACTTTCTTTTCTGAAAAAACACCTCAGCTTGAAACCTTATTATGATTACGATGTTGCAAGTCCTGAATCGGATTATACTACGGATAGATTTTGTCCTTTAGGGATTGGTAATATCCTACTTAGTATTTAATTGCCCGATTGAGTACAAAGGTATAAGTTATAGTAAGATCGGCTCCCTGAAAAACCAATTGACCCATATCTAAGTTTTTTTTCAAAATGGGACCCACATCTAGCATCTAGGGGTTTTCGGCGAAAAAGTGACCCACTTTAGCGGCACGTCCCCATATAGCCAATATATTGGAGTACCTTCCCCCCGGGGGCGAGAGCAGAACAGTTAACTCTAGGGTCATACTATATCTAGTTCATGTTCACGTACAGGTTTTCTTAAAACGCGTAGCTTAACTTCGACAATAGGGGGGTTAAGTAACACGTTAGAGAACCTGTACGCGAGCGTGTAATATTTCGACCCCAGGGATAACTTCTCGCACTCAACTCACTTTCCCAATGACCTAATTACAATTTTTACCGTTTACCTTTATACTCAATCGGTCAAGAAGACAGTACAGATTGGAGAACTAATCCACAGAGGACCAAAATTCACGTACAAGTTCAAAAACGTGTAGCTTTACCTAACCTATAATACAGATCGTTCATGATTGCAGCGATGATTGTTTTAAGTGTGAACCATTTGTCATTTCTGTTTATCAGAATTACACCTTACAATTATTAATTTCCGTTTTAAATTATTTTTTGGTTTTAGAGATATTAGGACGAAATGTCGGTTAATTATTTCTCGGAGATTTACTTTATCAAGGGTTCGTGCCTCATAACATTCAGATGTGAGGTGACATTGTATGTACACCCCCGCCAAAAGTTTGGAAAGCGGACGTCACATTTTTGGGTCACCTTTCATTGTTAAAGGACTAGTCTCAGTTTGGAGAACGAAGTTCATGAGTCTACTGCACGTTACGCCTGCTTTGGGCAATTTTGATATTTTTACATTATGTAAACTTAAATGTCATCTTTTGAATATTCATAATTTAATTTGGGTTTTATTTCTATATTTTCATAAAAAATTATTAGCCAATTAGACTTTTCTGCAAAGCGAGACTTGTCTTTTGGCGATTCAAAGAAACTTATCATTTGTCCTAACATTTCAGATTATTGTAATTAAAGTAACATATTGTAATTAAAGGAACATATTGTAATTAAGGAACATAATTAAGATTTAATCATTGACAGGCTTTTAATATTCTATCCAATAAATACTTTCAATTGCCACACTTATGGAGGGGAGTGTACTTTTAGCTTATTTTTGAAAAATGTAACACATACATATGTTAGGTTGGAGAGGATCTGATGACGCCGTCCAATTACAAGCGGTGTAAAATAATAATGGTCTCTTATTGGATATGGTTCCCCATCCACCCATACACGCCCAGATTGATCATAAACTAAGCTGGAAAAGTTGTAATTGAAAATCACCAATGAAAATGGGAAAATTAGTGCATACTCTTACGACTTACACTCCCCTATATCACGCGGTCCTAACTTCGACCGTTAATTTGAATTTTTGACCTACCGGATGTTTGAAAATCGAGGATTGCGACTCTCATACTGCACCGTTTTTCTTCAAACTTATGCCATTAAAAGCAGAACAAAATTGCCTTTCTGTCGGTGCATTTTTTTTTATTGTAAAGAGTCCCTCGTTCTAGCAGCGTTTTGGTCCCCAGCTGTTAAAGGCCTTCTTACAGCTGGGGACCAACATGCCGATGGAAGTAGGGACTCTGTTTTAGAGAATAATGTAACATCAGAAAGGGATTTTTGTTATGCTTTGAATGGAACAAGTTTGAAGAAAAACGGTGCAGTATGAGACTCGTAATCCTTGATTTTCAAACAGCTGGGTAGGTCAAAAATTCAAAATAACGGTCGAAGTTAGGACCGCGTGTATATACGTTTGGAAACCGAGAGTTTTCGTTATATCAAGTCTGTCAATTCACGAATCTTAATTTTGCTCCTAAATCGGATGCGATAAAAAACCGAACGCCAATTTGCGAACGGTCATGGTATTACGTTCGCCCCGAGTTGCTCAAATTATGACAAATTTGATGAATTGTTTAAATCACTAACGAAAAAGCAAGTTTTGATACTTGACCCAAAAGATGTTGCCGAACCTATGAAGGGGAGTGTATATTCCTTCTACATTGACAACTTAAATATTTGATTACAATGAAAGTGAGTTGCAATTAGTTAATGGATATGTCAAACCTAATTTTTATATTCACTTTCTAGGGGTGACTCACAAGTTTAGGCCCGTAGGGATAGGGGGAGGGCGGAGTTCAACAAACAATTAGTTCATCATCATTTAGTTTTAACCAATTTGTGCATTTTTTAAAGTGATTTTAGGCCAAAATTATCCGATTTGAGCCCCTTGGATTTTTTGAAATGTGAAACCCCCATCACATAAGCTGGCTACGGGATGCAAGCTATAAGAGGGAGGGGGACTTTATGACCTTAACCGTCGAACAAAAATATATTTCGGAAAACACCTGTTTTCGTTCATATTTAAGCCCTGGTATTTTTTTAACCAACCGTTCGTTCGCACATCTTTCATCTACATGAAAAAACACACACGCTCCCACACCAAAGTTCAAGGCCAAAACCCAAAGCAACTCAACCTTTCGGAAACATTTATGTCTATGTATTCACCTGTATGCCATTAGTCTTATGTAATATATGTTTCTCTTTCGCATATACTGCGCTGAAAAATGATGTTCTGATTATGCCTGTTATGTCATAATAAGCCATTGCTATTTCTTCGTTAGTTCTTAGTAAGTTAAACAAATATCCCTTTGAAAATTACCAGATTAGTTACGTCTGCAATATTGTCCTCGGAGAATTTTTAGCGACTTTATTAACTTACAGATACACTCCCCTCCA